GAAAGATCTAGAAGCGCGTCACACTGATTCGGTGTGCTGCGCCCTACTGGTGAACTCCGGAACTACATCTAATTTTATAACCAGTGTTTATGGCATTACAGGATAGAATGGGCCAAAACTAACAGGGTTACATTTCGTTTACATTTTTAATTTTTTGTCCATTTACTTGAATTTCTTGAGTTTGTTGTAATTTACGTTTATTCGAAAAAAACATTGAAACCGTTTTATCAACATTTAAGGTCAGGCAGGACGTCTGCAACCATTCTGCAACTTTTTTCATCTCTTTTGATAATTTGTCAGCAACCTCCAGCTCGTTTTTCCCAAAAGTGAAGATAACCGTATCATCAGCGTACATGATCAAGTCACTGTCAGAGCACACTGTAGGGAGGTCATTTATATAGATGCTAAAAAGCAAGGGTCCCAAAATAGACCCTTGCGGCACTCCCATTGAGGTGGCTCTAAACGCAGATTGGATGTTATTTACTCGTACACACTGATGTCGGTCGCTCAAATAAGATCCAGTTTTGGGTGTGCTCAGAGAGACTATATTGATTTAATTTACTGTAGAGTATCTGATGGTTGACGGTGTCAAAAGCTTTACGCAGATCAAGGAAGACAGCTCCCACCACCCTTCCCTGATCCACATATGCCCTGACAGTTTCCAGGAAGTAGCAACAGGCAGAGTCTGTTGAATACTTCCGTCTGAAACCAAACTGCATTGGGTTTAAGAGCGCTTGTGAGTCAAAGTGGGCGGTAAGTTGATCCGCCATTGTCTTCTCGAGCACTTTTGACGCTGCTGGAAGGATGCTTATTGGACGATAATTGTTCATTTCTTGTTTGTCACCAGACTTAAATATAGGGGTGACAATCCCGTCACTAATTGATTGATTGATCATTGTTGTCAACGGATCAGAGAAGATGTCCCTATATTGTTTAAGAAAAGAAGTATCAAGTCCATAAATATCTTTTGCTTTGCTGCTGTTTAGCCCAGTCCTTATTTTTTCAACTTTGGTTTTAGTTATTGGACTAAGATTAAACTCTGATTTGTTACTGATTATGAGAGGGGGATAAACAATTTGAAAATTCTGAGCCAGTTTTTGGACAATGTTTAAAAAATATTCATTAAAATTTGTTGCTATTGCAAAAGAGTCATCAATAATTTTTCCATTTATTTTGAGATGGATATTTTTCTTTGCGCATTACATCCAGAGAAACATCGGAGCCAAAGCAGCCAAAGTCCTTTTTTTGGCTTAACTGCGGATGGGACCACTGACTTGAGTGGCAAAGAACAGTTTTCAATCAATGTTCAGTTTTCTGATGACAATCTGGACGTTCAGAATTTCTTTTTGGGATTTTATAACGCCCCGGACACAACCGCAGAGATGCTCTTTTTATGTATAAAAGACGTCCTCGTTCGACTCAACTTGCCTTTGGAGAAGCTGAAAGGCTACTGTTTTGATGGAGCCAGCAACATGTCTGGGAGGTTCACGGGAGTACAGGCAAGATTGAAGGAAACATGTCCTGACTCTGTTTGTTCATTGTGCAAATCACTCTCTGGATTTAGTGCTGCAAGAAGTGGCAAAAGAAGTGCGCCTTGTTGCTGACACATTGAACTTCGTTCGAGAAGTCACAGTAACCATAAATGAATCAGCAAAAAGAAAAAACCTTTATCAGTCTCTTCTCGGATGTGGAGAAGTGGTTAACCTGCTTTCCCTGTGCCCAACACGGTGGTGCGTCAGGGTTGCGGCACTGTCGCGGTTGCTGACCTGCTATGGAGAGATGCTGCAGACATTTCAAACCTTGGAGAACGACAGGACTGTCAGGGGGGAGACGCGCGCAAAAGTGGCAGGCCTGATCAAAAAGGCCTTTACTACGCGCACGGTTTTTGGTTTGTTTGCTTGTGTTGCCGTGTTTTCCCCATGTGAATCGGTGGCTCGGTCACTACAAGGCACTAAAGTCACTGCCCTTGGATCAGTGGAAGCTGCAAAACTTCTTTGCCAGCGATTGAGCACACTGCGACACGAGGCAACCTTCGTCGATCTTGTGGGCAAGACGAAGCAATATGAAGACCGCTACAAGCTACAGTGGCCACCAAAGTAAGCGCGCATCAGCAAGACCCCAGTGCGTTTTCGCCATACAACGGAGAAGGAGGATAAAGAGTTGGGAGATAAAGAGGGTAAATAAATAAATCATAATAATGCCAACTGTATTTTGAAACAAAGGAACGTCGCTTACAAAATCAGCATGTATTAAAATGCAACAAATAAACACAGATAGTATAGCCGCCTATGGTTCTAATAACTTGTGGAGATGAAAATATGTAAATAATACTATACTACACAAACATCATAGTACACCTTAGAAATTAGCTTGGAATTAATATGTACACAATTAATAATACACAAACGATGTATATCATGAAAAATTGGAACATGCAAAAGTAAGAAATCAAATTTGAGCACGTTTAAATAGGCAGCTCATATAAAATTGTATTGTTGTTTAAGTGATATTATGTTTAATATTGCAGATTATCCAAGCCTGTGGAAGAGGGAGATGTTTGAGGCCTTGGACTTGGTGCGCTCAGAGGTGGAGCGGCGTTTTGATCAGGAGGGACTCCGCGTAGCTGCAGGGCGAGAGCAGGCCATTCTTGAGGCAGCCCAGGGGAAACAAGTTAATGTGGGTTCCCCGGATCTGACCCCTTTTTCACGAGAGAAACTATGTCTTGAGCTGGACATACTGAGTGACGTGTGCAGGGGGCGAGAAGTTTTGACGATTGAAGATGTTGCGTCTATCCTGCGCACCTTGCAGCCCCAAACCCGCTCCATGCTGTCGGAGGTGGAGAAGCTTTTGAAGCTCTGTCATGCCCTGCCCATATCTGTCGCAGCCTCTGAGCGCTCTTTCTCAGCCTTGCGCAGATTGAAGACCTGGCTACGCAACACAATGAAGCAGGAGAGACTGACACATTTGTCCATTATGAATGCGCATAGTGACCTCTTAGATGAATGCGATGTTTCTTCTCTGCTTGAACAATTCATCAGTCGGTCTACTGAGAGAAGGTCCACTTTTGGAAAAATCTGAAAGTCCTCAGATGATTGCAAACTGTTCCATGTCAGTGTCAGTGTTGTGCAATTTACTTTAAATTGTTCCGGTGTTGCAGCTTATAAAAATGACACAGCCACCTTTTTTGACGCGCTTAATTTTTATTTGGAGCCTTGTGTTTGTCTTTCAGTGCGCACGTGTTTGTTATGCAGCTTTGAAATAAATTATTTCCAGTTTGAAAAGTGCCTTACTTAATTTATATTTTTTCATTATTCTTAACCATTAAGATAATATGTTGTTATCCAGTCTACTACATTTCTGTCTCTCCCCGACTCAACCAAAAAAAAACCCGCCCCCCCTTTCCGAAAATAGTTCCGACGTCACTGCACACACACAGACCTCACACAGGTCCCCATCACACACAGACCTCAGACAGACGTGCAGACACACACACAGACCTCACACAGGTCCCCATTACACACAGACCTCAGACAGACGTGCAGACACACACACAGACCTCACACAGGTCCCCATTATACACAGACCTCACACACACACACACACACACACAGACCTCAGACAGACGTGCAGACACACACACACACAGACCTCACACAGGTCCCCATCACACACAGACCTCAGACAGACGTGCAGACACACACACAGACCTCACACAGGTCCCCATTACACACAGACCTCACACACACACACACAGACCTCACACAGGTCCTTGAAACAAAAGTTCAGAAAACACAAGGATCTACATTGTATAATTATTTCCCTGCTTGGTCTGGTCCTGGTGTGGTCCTGGTCTGGACTATAGTGACTCTGTATTAATCACTATAGTTCCTGGCTCTAAAGACAACAAGTTGCGATGTGATTGTTCAAAACATTTCACTTTAAGACTCTTTCTCTTCAAACTGAAAGATATTTTTGAGACTAAAGTTTTAAACCTCAGGGTAAATGAGAACGCTACAGTGTTGCATGTTCTGCCTGTGTCAGTGTCAGAGAGCCTCCATCAGCTACAACTCAGAGAGAAAAGCTTTTACTCTTTTTAAACATTTAGATGGATACGTTAGCACACACGGTAGCACACATGGTCGCACGCACGTTAGCACACACGGTAGCACACATGGTCGCACGCACGTTAGCACACACGGTAGCACGCACGTTAGCACACAGGGTAGCACACATGGTCGCAAACGTTAGCATACATGGTCGCACGCACGTTAGCACACATGGTCGCATGCACGTTAGCACACATGGTCGCACACATGGTAGCACACATGGTCGCACACACATTAGCACACATGGTCGCAGGCACGTTAGCACACATGGTAGCACACATGGTCGCACACACGTTAGCGCAAACATTATTATACTAGTTTGAACGTGTGTTACTTTGGGACCTCGCAGTTTGAGTGAATCCCCAACTACACTTTGTCTCTCTCTGTCTGTCTCTCTCTGTGTGTGTGTGTCTCTCTCCCTCTGTGTGTCTCTCTTTCTCTCTGTGTGTCTCTCTCTCTCTGTGTCTTCTCTCTCTGTCTCTCTCTCTCTGTCTCTCTCTCTTGCTGTGTCTCTCTCTCTGTGTATGTCTCTCTCTCTGTCGCTCTCTCTCTGTCTCTCTCTCGGTGTCTCTCTCTCTCTCTGTGTCTCTCTGTGTGTGTCTCTCTCTCTGTGTCTCTCTCTCTCTCTGTATGCTACATTAGCATTAGCGCAGGACACTCGGACACAGAGGATTATATAAAGCTTTTATTCTTTCTCTTTTGGACCAAACATCAAAGTTTCATGAACCATTGTTTTTCACAGACCTCAAAGTGCTGCGCCCACTTTAGAAACACTCTCACTGGTCCTGGTCCTGGTCCTGGTCCTGGTCTCCTCCCGGTCCTGGTCTGGTCCTGGTCTTGGTCTTGGTCTGAACAGGACATTTTAGATCAGATGTCCAGTTCATCAGAGCCAAAATGTCCAGAACCAAAGTAAAGAGCGTGAGCAAAGTAAAGAGCGTGAGCAAAGTAGAGAGCGTGAGCAAAGTAGAGAGCGTGAGCAAAGTAGAGCGTGAGCAAAGTAGAGAGCGTGAGTATAGTAAAGAGCGTGAGCAGAGTAAAGAGCGTGAGCAAAGTAAAGAGCGTGAGCAAAGTAAAGAGCGTGAGCAGAGTAAAGAGCGTGAGCAAAGTAGAGAGCGTGAGCAAAGTAAAGAGCGTGAGCAGAGTAAAGAGCGTGAGCAGAGTAAAGAGCGTGAGCAGAGTAAAGAGCGTGAGCAGAGTAAAGAGCGTGAGCAAAGTAGAGAGCGTGAGCAAAGTAAAGAGCGTGAGCAGAGTAAAGAGCGTGAGCAGAGTAAAGAGCGTGAGCAGAGTAAAGAGCGTGAGCAGAGTAAAGAGCGTGAGCAAAGTAAAGAGCGTGAGCAAAGTAGAGCGTGAGCAAAGTAGAGCGTGAGCAAAGTAGAGAGCGTGAGCAAAGTAGAGAGCGTGAGCAAAGTAAGAGCGTGAGCAAAGTAGAGAGCGTGAGCAAAGTAAAGAGCGTGAGCAAAGTAAAGAGCGTGAGCAGAGTAAAGAGCGTGAGCAAAGTAAAGAGCGTGAGCAAAGTAGAGAGCGTGAGCAAAGTAGAGAGCGTGAGAAAAGTAAAGAGCGTGAGCAAAGTAAAGAGCGTGAGCAAGAGTAAAGAGCGTGAGCAAAGTAAATAGCGTGAGCAAAGTAGAGCGTGAGCAAAGTAGAGCGTGAGCAAAGTAGAGAGCGTGAAAGTAGAGAGCGTGAGCAAAGTAAAGAGCGTGAGCAAAGTAGAGAGCGTGAGCAAAGTAAAGAGCGTGAGCAAAGTAAAGAGCGTGAGCAGAGTAAAGAGCGTGAGCAAAGTAAAGAGCGTGAGCAAAGTAGAGAGCGTGAGCAAAGTAGAGAGCGTGAGAAAAGTAAAGAGCGTGAGCAAAGTAAAGAGTGTGAGCAAAGTAAAGAGCGTGAGCAAAGTAAAGAGCGTGAGCAAAGTAAAGAGCGTGAGCAAAGTAGAGAGCGTGAGCAAAGTAAAGAGCGTGAGCAGAGTAAAGAGCGTGAGCAGAGTAAAGAGCGTGAGCAGAGTAAAGAGCGTGAGCAAAGTAAAGAGCGTGAGCAAAGTAGAGCGTGAGCAAAGTAGAGCGTGAGCAAAGTAAGGAGCGTGAGCAGAGTAAAGAGCGTGAGCAAAGTAGAGAGCGTGAGCAAAGTAAAGAGCGTGAGCAAAGTACAGAGCGTGAGCAAAGTAAAGAGCGTGAGCAAAGTAAAGAGCATGAGCAAAGTAAAGAGCGTGAGCAAAGTAAAGAGCATGAGCAAAGTAAAGAGCGTGAGCAAAGTAGAGAGCGTGATTAAAGTAAAGAGCAAAGTAAAGAGCATGAGCAAAGTAGAGAGCGTGAGCAAAGTAAAGAGCGTGAGCAAAGTAGAGCGTGAGCAAAGTAGAGAGCGTGAGCAAAGTAAAGAGCAAAGTAAAGAGCATGAGCAAAGTAGAGAGCGTGAGCAAAGTAAAGAGCATGAGCAAAGTAGAGCGTGAGCAAAGTAGAGAGCGTGAGCAAAGTAGAGCGTGAGCAAAGTAGAGAGCGTGAGTAAAGTAAAGAGCGTGAGCAAAGTAAAGAGCAAAGTAAAGAGCATGAGCAAAGTAGAGAGCGTGAGCAAAGTAAAGAGCGTGAGCAAAGTAGAGCGTGAGCAAAGTAGAGAGCGTGAGCAAAGTAAAGAGCGTGAGTAAAGTAAAGAGCGTGAGCAAAGTAGAGCGTAAGCAAAGTAAAGAGCGTGAGCAAAGTAGAGCGTGAGCAAAGTAAAGAGCGTGAGCAAAGTAGAAGCGTGAGCAAAGTAAAGAGCGTGAGCAAAGTAAAGAGCACGAGCAAAGTAAAGCGTGAGCAAAGTAGAGCGTGAGCAAAAGTAAGGAGCGTGAGCAGAGTAAAGAGCGTGAGCAAAGTAGAGAGCGTGAGCAAAGTAAAGAGCGTGATCAAAGTACAGAGCGTGAGCAAAGTAAAGAGCGTGAGCAAAGTAAAGAGCATGAGCAAAGTAAAGAGCGTGAGCAAAGTAAAGAGCGTGAGCAAAGTAAAGAGCATGAGCAAAGTAAAGAGCGTGAGCAAAGTAGAGAGCGTGAGTAAAGTAAAGAGCAAAGTAAAGAGCATGAGCAAAGTAGAGAGCGTGAGCAAAGTAAAGAGCGTGAGCAAAGTAGAGCGTGAGCAAAGTAGAGAGCGTGAGCAAAGTAAAGAGCAAAGTAAAGAGCATGAGCAAAGTAGAGCGTGAGCAAAGTAGAGAGCGTGAGTAAAGTAAGAGCGTGAGCAAAGTAAAGAGCAAAGTAAAGAGCATGAGCAAAGTAGAGAGCGTGAGCAAAGTAAAGAGCGTGAGCAAAGTAGAGCGTGAGCAAAGTAGAGAGCGTGAGCAAAGTAAAGAGCGTGAGCAAAGTAAAGAGCGTGAGCAAAGTAGAGCGTGAGCAAAGTAAAGAGCGTGAGCAAAGTAGAGAGCGTGATTAAAGTAGAGAGCGTGAGCAAAGTAAAGAGCGTGAGCAAAGTAGAGAGCGTGAGCAAAGTAAAGAGCATGAGCAAAGTAAAGAGCGTGAGCAAAGTAAAGAGGTGAGCAAAGTAAAGAGCGTGAGCAAAGTAGAGAGTGTGAGCAAAGTAAAGCACGAGCAAAGTAAAGAGCGTGAGCAAAGTAAAGAGCGTGAGCAAAGTAAAGAGCGTGAGCAAAGTAAAGAGCGCAAGAGCAAAGTAAAGAGCGTGAGCAAAAAGCGTGAGCAAGTAGAGCGTGAGCAAAGTAAAGAGCTGAGCAAAGTAAAGAGCGTGAGCAAAGTAGAGCGTGAGCAAAGTAAGAGCGTGAGCAAAGTAGAGAGCGTGAGCAAAGTAAAGAGCGTGAGCAAAGTAAGAGCGTGAGCAAAGTAAAGAGCGTGAGCAAAGTAAAGAGCGTGAGCAAAGTAAAGAGCGTGAGCAAAGTAAAGAGCGTGAGCAAAGTAAAGAGCGTGAGCAAAGTAAAGAGCGTGAGCAAAGTAAAGAGCGTGAGCAAAGTAGAGAGCGTGAGCAAAGTAAAGAGCAGCAAAGTAAAGAGCGTGAGCAAAGTAAAGAGCGTGAGCAAAGTAAAGAGCTGAGCAAAGTAAAGAGCGTGAGCAAAGTAAGAGCGTGAGCAAAGTAGAGAGCGTGAGCAAAGTAGAGAGCGTGAGCAAAGTAAAGAGCAAAGTAAAGAGCATGAGCAAAGTAGAGAGCGTGAGCAAAGTAAAGAGCGTGAGCAAAGTAGAGCGTGAGCAAAGTAGAGCGTGAGCAAAGTAGAGAGCGTGAGAAAGTAAGAGCGTGAGCAAAGTAAGACGTGAGCAAAGTAATGAGCAAAGTAAGAGCGTGAGCAAAGTAGAGAGTGAGCAAAGTAAAGAGCGTGAGCAAAGTAGAGCGTGAGCAAAGTAAGAGCGTGAGCAAAGTAGAGAGCGTGAGCAAAGTAAAGAGCGTGAGCAAAGTAGAGAGCGTGAGCAAAGTAAAGAGCGTGAGCAAAGTAGAGAGCGTGAGCAAAGTAGAGAGCGTGAGCAAAGTAAGAGCGTGAGCAAAGTAGAGAGCGTGAGCAAAGTAAAGAGCGTGAGCAAAGTAAGAGAGCGTGAGAGCAAAGTAGAGAGCGTGAGCAAAGTAAAGAGCGTGAGCAAAGTAAAGAGCGTGAGCAAGTAAGAGCGTGAGCAAAGTAGAGCGTGAGCAAAGTAGAGCGTGAGCAAAGTAAAGAGCGTGAGCAAAGTAAAGAGCGTGAGCAAAGTAAAGAGCGTGAGCAAAGTAAAGAGCGTGAGCAAAGTAAAGAGCGTGAGCAAAGTAAAGAGCGTGAGCAAAGTAGAGAGCGTGAGCAAAGTAAAGAGCGTGAGCAAAGTAAAGAGCGTGAGCAAAGTAAAGAGCGTGAGCAAAGTAAAGAGCGTGAGCAAAGTAAAGAGCGTGAGCAAAGTAAAGAGCGTGAGCAAAGTAGAGAGCGTGAGCAAAGTAAAGAGCGTGAGCAAAGTAAAGAGCGTGAGCAAAGTAAAGAGCGTGAGCAAAGTAAAGAGCGTGAGCAAAGTAAAGAGCGTGAGCAAAGTAGAGAGCGTGAGCAAAGTAAAGAAGGTGAGCAAAAAAGTAGAGAGCGTGAGCAAAGTAAAGAGCGTGAGCAAAGTAAAGAGCGTGAGCAAAGTAGAGCGTGAGCAAAGTAGAGCGTGAGCAAAGTAAAGAGCCTGAGCAAAGTAGAGAGCGTGAGCAAAGTAAAGAGCGTGAGCAAAGTAAAGAGCGTGAGCAAAGTAAAGAGCGTGAGCAAAGTAAGAGCGTGAGCAAAGTAAAGAGCGTGAGCAAAGTAAAGAGCATGAGCAAAGTAAAGAGCGTGAGCAAAGTAAAGAGCGTGAGCAAAGTAAAGAGCGTGAGCAAAGTAGAGCGTGAGCAAAGTAAGAGCGTGAGCAAAGTAAAGAGCGTGAGCAAAGTAAGAGCGTGAGCAAAGTAAAGAGCGTGAGCAAAGTAAGAGCGTGAGCAAAGTAAAGAGCGTGAGCAAAGAGAGCGTGAGCAAAGTAAAGAGCGTGAGCAAAGTAAAGAGCGTGAGCAAAGTAAAGAGCGTGAGCAAAGTAAAGAGCGTGAGCAAAGTAAGAGCGTGAGCAAAGTAAAGAGCGTGAGCAAAGTAAAGAGCGTGAGCAAAGTAGAGCGTGAGCAAAGTAAAGAGCGTGAGCAAAGTAAAGAGCGTGAGCAAAGTAGAGCGGAGCAAAGAAAGAAGCAGTGAGCAAAGTAAAGAGCGTGAGCAAAGTAAAGAGCGTGAGCAAAGTAAGAGCGTGAGCAAAGTAGAGCGTGAGCAAAGTAAGAGCGTGAGCAAAGTAAAGAGCGTGAGCAAAGTAAAGAGCGTGAGCAAAGTAAAGAGCGTGAGCAAAGTAAAGAGCGTGAGCAAAGTAAAGAGCGTGAGCAAAGTAAAGAGCGTGAGCAAAGTAAAGAGCGTGAGCAAAGTAAAGAGCGTGAGCAAAGTAAAGAGCGTGAGCAAAGTAAAGAGCGTGAGCAAAGTAAAGAGCGTGAGCAAAGTAGAGCGTGAGCAAAGTAAAGAGCATGAGCAAAGTAGAGAGCGTGAGCAAAGTAAAGAGCGTGAGCAAAGTAAGAGCGTGAGCAAAGTAGAGAGCGTGAGCAAAGTAAAGAGCAAAGTAAAGAGCGTGAGCAAAGTAGAGAGCGTGAGCAAAGTAAAGAGCGTGAGCAAAGTAGAGCGTGAGCAAAGTAGAGAGCGTGAGCAAAGTAGAGAGCGTGAGTAAAGTAAAGAGCGTGAGCAAAGTAAAGAGCAAAGTAAAGAGCATGAGCAAAGTAGAGAGCGTGAGCAAAGTAAAGAGCGTGAGCAAAGTAAAGAGCAAAGTAAAGAGCATGAGCAAAGTAGAGAGCGTGAGCAAAGTAAAGAGCGTGAGCAAAGTAGAGCGTGAGCAAAGTAGAGAGCGTGAGCAAAGTAGAGCGTGAGTAAAGTAAAGAGCGTGAGCAAAGTAGAGCGTGAGCAAA